GCTCCGCCCTCTCAGTCACATGACCTCCTGCAGTTGTTCTTCAGCCTCAAACAGAAACAGGTTTTAGATGCAGGATGCGGACCTGCCTCAACATGGGCCGGCGGGCGCCGTCTGTCCCCGGGTTTAAATCATCCCGCTCCACTGAAGCGACGTGTAGCACACCCCGGGGTCTGGCCCCGGCGAACACAGGAGGACCGTCTTCTTCACGTTGGATCCCAGACGAGCCACGGCGAGGACATCCAGCAAACACACGGACTCATCCAGAGACACACAGACGGCGATGAAGTGAGCGTGGAACCGCAGAGGGTCACCTGACGAGACATGACCACACAGAGTCAGCAGCAGCCTGACATCACTGCTGACATCACTGACGTCAGCAGTGATGTCAGCAGTGATGACATCATTCTGTCAGGTGTTGAGCTCCTCACTCACCTGGATACACCAGGAAGTCTCCTCCAAACTTTCCTGCTGAGGTCAGGTAGAAGCCCCGCCCCCGTAGGTCTCTGAACACCTGGTACCTGGCGTCACAGCGGGGCTCAGCCCCAGTCGGCCCGCAGGCCTGCAGGAAGGCTCGGGCTTCAGGACAGTAACTTAGCCCCGCCCTCGCCGTGCTCAGCTGGACGGCCATTGCTGACTGCGGGAAGGTGAAGTTCTGGTCCAGAGCCTGCAGGCGGCGCCGCAGGGCGTCATCTGCACTCGCAGCGCCAGAGTCTGCACCTGAGAGGACGGCACCATGAGAGCAGCCCCCGGGTACATGCAGAAACCTCATCACGCCAACACTCACCTGTCATCGCTCGGAGCAGCGCCGACTTCCTGTCCTCCAGTGCGAGGACGCTCTGCTCCTCAAAGCTCCTCCTCTCCTCCTCCTCGTACTTCTGACGGAGCTCCGCCCCCCCCCAATCCTGCTGAGAACAACCACACATCAAACACACAGGACGCGCGGGCTTGCGGTTCCTATGACAACCAGCAGTGAGCCCGTGCCGCAGAGTCCCGTGTTAAAATAAACATGTCTGCCGCCTGACACGCTAACTGTATGTACAGGGTGACCTCGAAACAGCCAACATGGCGGCCAGCTTAATGAGACGCCACGATGAGCGCCAGCACCTCTAACGACCCGCTCTGACCTGGCAGCGGTCCGGCAGGGCTGCAGCGGCGCGGCGCTCCCTCAGCAGCCCCTCCTCCTCCGGCAGCAGCAGCAGCGGTCGACCCAGGCGCCCGTTCTGTCGCGGCGTTCGGGGCAGCGACCCCAGGAGTGCCCCCACCAGGCCTTGAGCCCTAACAGCCCTCAGGTCCTGCATCCTCCACACCAAGGGGGCGGAGTCACACAGACTCACTCCCACAGCTGGGGCGGCGTCCTCTTCCTCAGAGC